TATGAAATTTGGAACAATTGGTACAAATGGCTGCAAAACAAGAATAAAATTAAGCCAAAAAACAATATATAAAAATGTATATAGAACTGTGTATAAAGTGTGTAAAAATAGAAGCAAAATATTATATACATGTACAGGTATGATGACATAACAATGTTGATGTAATGACTGTAAGGTGTTGTAGAAAGGAAAAAATAATAATAAAAATCTGCTAAAAAAAAACGGTCCCCTTTTATTTAATCCTTATGAGCCTCAGTAAGATTTGCCCTCTTTTCCAGTTCATTTCTTACTTCCTCCAAGAACATGCGTGGCCACCGTAGTCCTGGCCAGGAGGGTCCTTTCTCTCCAGGCAACCCTTCTCAGGGTGTTGCCCACCCAGGCACTGTGCATCGCAGGAAGCTTTGGCCTGCCCCTTCCGCACCCCTGGCCCCTCCCTGCTCCTACGCTTATTGCCCAGGGAGGACTGGATGAACGGGGGAGCAGCAGACAGGAGCCCTGGTTGGTTTGATTTGGTCACAGTGAACTTTGGAAACAGAGGACTTTGGAAAGCTCCGGGCCAAGGCAGACCCCAGACCCATTTTGTGGCCCTCTAAATACATCTGTAAACCATATTTTAAGGCACGAGACTCATAAATGCATAAATCTCTGGCTTTATATTTAAGGAAGTTGGGGGGAGGATTAAAAATTGGGAACTCCCATCTGCCTTTCCTCCTTTTTCTGCCCCCATCAAAGATGGCAAGGCACTTGTCCTGCCCAGCCCTGCCTGCAGATGCCCCAAGAGCCCCGTAATCCATCCCAAGCAGGCACCACTCCGGAGTCCATGGTCAGGAGGATCTGAGACTTTTGCCAGCCACCCTTGGAACAGTGGCAGTGCCAGCCAGAGTCTGCTCTAGCACATTCTGATCGCTTCACAGTGGCTGCCCCAGGCGCCTCTATGCACCCTCTTGCCGACACAGTGGAGGCCACCTGGGATGGCTCAGCTGCCCCGTGTCATGGCGACTAGTGTTGTTCTCCCCTCTGAGACCTACTTGCCCGAGGTGCTCCGCCCTGGGTTGGGTTGTAAGGTCAGGTGGCTTTTAGGCCAAAAGAAGAGCCCTTCCGGAGAGGTTCAGAGGGGTGAAGCAGTGGGGCACTGAGAGCTTGTTCACTTATGTGGGAAGGGTGGCACTGAGGCCCTCAAGGTGGCACTGCCTCTTTCCACAGTCTCCTTGTGGAACCTCCATTCCCCAGACTCTTGGAGCAGAGCAAGGTAGGGAAGGAGCTCGTCCCCCCCTCCTCTCTGGCCACAAATGCTGCATTGTACAGTGCCACAGTGTCGCCTCTTGGGCACCTGAGGACACCTGGGTTTCCTGACTCCCTCTTCTCCTTTGCTCTCTCACCTGGCTGCTCGCAAGTTTGTTACTGTTGCACTTTAGCCAAGCCACTGACCTTTGCTGCCCAGCTCCGAACAAAGAGGGAGACCTTTCCCGGTGGGCTGCAGGCCAAATGCCCACTGGGTCCGGAGCCAACGCAAACGTCCCCTGTTTGGAGAACGTCAAAGGGTAAGGTCAGCCTGCCATCCAGGGCCCTCGTGGCATCGGGGCCCAGCCAAGAATAACCCCGTTATCTCGGTGGTTGCACGCCTGGATGGAGATGACGCAGGCCTCTGCGAGGATGGGGGGGCCCGGGGAGCCCCCCGGGCTGCATAAAAGAAGGAGCCTCTGCAAACACCAGTCACCTGTCTCCGAGACTCAGAATATTCTTTGGCTGAGGAGAAGAAAGGACCGAGCGAGATGAAATCCTTGCTGTTCACTTTGGGCCTGGCCCTCTGCTGCTTCCTCCAGGCTAATGGGTACGAGCCATTTGAGACATCTGATCATAAAGACGTGAGTACATGTGGCTGGGGGTGTGTGTGTCTCTGTTCTGGCCCTCCCCTGATCGAAGGAACCCAGGCACCAGAAGCCCCTCTTTGGGCACAGAGGGGAGAGCTGGTGCACGGGGTCTCCGCCTTCCCCCTTCACTGGGGCAGCGAGGGCCCTTTCTCACTTGGGAGGAGACCGCGATTGAACAAAACTGGCAAATAAATAAACCTGGGATATTTTTTATGCATTGTATGCAAAAATTCATCCCTAAATATGCATTTGGATGGAATGTCTCATAAACCAACTCTTTCCAAATGCACAGCTGAACCGCAATGAAATCCTCAGAGAAGTCATCCGGGAGCCCCCCTGAAGGGTCTGTGGGGCTGCCTCCCGGTCAGGGGGATTGCATCTCTTGCCCACTGACGGGCAGCCTCCATGGCACAAAGGCTTCTGGGGTGAGGCTCCTTCTGCAAATTCCAGTTGGGTCATTAACGCTGCCTTTGGTCCCCAGATTGAGGGACCTTGTTTCGTTGTAGCCGTGGCAACCACTTGCCGGAAAATAGAGAATATGCTTCCCAACGCGGCGGTAATGCCCACAGAGATTAAGAAACTGACGAAGGACACATTTCAAATGACCACGGAAATAAAAACGTAAGTGCCCCACTTTGCTGCTTGCTTCCATGATGCCCGAATGGCCAGGGGTCCAGCGGTGCTGCTCTTGGGAGCCAGCGAGTCTCCCCAAAGTCCTGGAACTGCCCTGGGGCCAGGGTTGTTTCTTCAGCCCCTTCTGAGATCCAGGGAGATCCCCAAGGGAGAAGGACCGAGAGCCCTTCAGGGCACGTCCTCCTGACATCTCAGGGAGAAACGACTGAGGCAAGCACCTTCAGTCAGGGCCCAGGTTGACTTTTTGTAGGCCAGGGGAAAACCCCCTTATTTAGAGAGTGTTTGAGGGCTAAGGGAAGGGCCTCAGGGACAAGGCCACCTTCCACAGAGCCCAGGGGTTTCAGGCCACAAGTGAGATCAGCTGGAGAACCTGGAGGTGGAAGAAGGACCGTCTGGAGGGGCAAGGGCTTTACCTAAGAGGCCGAGCGATCTGAGAATGGTCTCAGAAGCTTTGCCATTGTTTTGCAGGCCAAATGGGTGCATGACAATGAAAAAGGAGTTCAAACAACGTGAAGACCAAAAGTTCTACGCCACATGTAGTATGTAGTTGAAAGGCTGGTTTTTAACAACGGGATCCTGTCAGGCCAAGAACCGGGGGTCCTGGTGGGGGTTGGGAAAGGAATGAGGTGGGGGCTGGAATGTCCGCTCTGCCCACCTCAAGGCCCAGGATCCAGCACCCTTGCCAGAGGAGCTAAGGGGGATGGGCCCCTTAAGACCCAAAGAGCCCAGGCCTGGAGGAGCTGGGCTTTGGAAGGATGGCAAAGGAGGGGGACTCTGGGGCACCCTCTCATTTCTGGGGTGAAAAGGAGTTTAATCCCATCTCAAGCGAACTGCATCTTCCCCTTCTGAGGGGCTTCCTTGAGGCAGGTGGGCAGGCAGGGCCCTTCGGATGCCCTTAAGGTTGTCTTCCATCCCAAAGACCCCGACTTCTTCATCAGGGGATGAAGAGAGAAGAACCCCACCCCCCAACCCCTACCTAAATCTCAAAGGCTTCCAACTGGGGATCACCTGCCCCCCCTTCTGTGAAAAAGCCCAGCCCGATTTATGGTTGCTTCATTTCTTCTTACAGAGAAAGGTGGTGAAACGACTCTGGGTTACATAAACAAGGCAGGGGAAAGTGTGTCCGTCAGCGTCGAAATTACACATAAGAAGGGCTCGTGCAAAATGGCAACACTCGCGGGTGCGTATCTCAGCCGGAGAGGAAAGGAAGGAGGGCCCAGATGGAGTTTGCATGTCCCATTCATCCACCATTTGCTTGAGCCCTTTGCAGCAGCGGGAAATATTGATGGAAATAGCTCATAAACCCTGTTTGCTTTGCAAAATCAGCCATCCCCTGCAAGGCTCTATCTAAGGGGGTGGGGAGCCTGCGATGGAGGCCGGAGGGAGGGAGCACAGCAGAGCCCCCCCCCCAGTTTCTTCTTCACCCCTGGGGTGGCCCTTGATAGCCAGGGAGCCTCAGGGGCTCAGCCCCCTAACATGGCACCTGCCTCTGCTGGGCCTTCCCTGTGGCATCGCCTCCCCTACCCCGCTGCCCCTTCTGGTGCCCCTTGGCCTGAGCTTGAAGCTC